GGAGCAGAGAGCAGGGGGACACCCTTGGCCAGCTGCTCCTGCCGGAGCGAAACAGTGACAAAACCTTGCCTAGGTGACCCTCCGCAGGAGACAGGAGCCTGTTTCGGGTGCTGGGGGGCAAGGCCAGTGCTGGTGGGGATGAGGGTGCAAGGAGGGTGGGTGCCTGGAGGAGTGAGGAGGAAGATCAGCAGCGACGGGGCGGGAGGAGAAGCTGCTGGGGGAAAACATGGGGGCGATGGAGTGAGGAGGAATCCACCCTGAGGAGGATGAGAAGAAGGAGCCAAGAGGGGGCTGCAAAGCCGGCACGGCCCCCGTACCTCCGCTCCTCTGACAGCACTCCTGTCCCATGCAGCGACGGCTGCTTCCCAGGCAGGATACTGGCCATGGCGTCAGCTGCCGGGAGGGACACATCGTCTCGGTGGGGCTGGCAGGAGACATCAGAGAGGAGGGTGAGTATCAGGAGCAGGCTGAGGAAAGCCCTGCAAGAGGTTAAAGCCAAGCTGGTCCCACCATCAAGAACCCTGTTGTGAGCTCCTTCAGCCCCTTCCCCACATCTGGGAGCAGCTCTCCTGGCTTTCACCTGGAGCAAAATGCTTTTGCCACTGTTGCTTTGGGGTCAGGCTCTAACCCTGTCCCAAAAAACCTCTGGCATCACTGGCTGAGATGCCACCTTTGGGGCTCAGATGCAACACGATGTGGCCACAGGGCTGGAAGACCTTCTCCTGAGGATGGGGACACTTAGAAAATGCCTGGCTTTGAGCATCATCTCATGGCTGGACCACTGAGCCCTGCACCCTTGGGAGGAAATTTGGCTATGACCAAAAGCAATCCCAACCAGGCGTTGTCCCTGCAATTGGGACCTCGGGGTCCTCAGATCCCGCTGGTGATGCCAGTGACAGTGTGACCTCCCCCTCCCCACCCACCGCCCCTCGGCACTCACAGTGGAGGAGAAGGGTCTGTAGCAGACCATCATCCTTGCTCCTCCCCCCCCCGGCCGAACGTCCCGTCCCCGAGCCGCCACCTGAGCTGCTGGCCGGTGGACTTACGGTGATGCCAGGGTGCTGTAGCATGAGGAAAAGCTGGTTTGCCCAGGCCCTTTCTGCCAGTGCCTGTTGCTACAACACATCTCTCCTCTTAGCAACTCCTCCCCGCAGCAACTAGGCGCCTAAAGCCACCCAGCTGCACCCAGATGGGTGCAGGCAGCCTGCTCTGCTGCTCCTCGCCCGGGGCACCCACATCTCGACCCCTTTAGCATCCCTTCCACCATTGCACATCCCATTGCTGCTCCCAAAGCCATCGGGGCCAGGAGGCAACATCTCCCCGCTGCCTGCCTCCGAGCACTCCAGAGAAGGGCAGTGAGGCTGGGGAGGGGTCTGGAGAACAAGTCTCATGAGGAGCGGCTGAGGGAGCTGGGGCTGTTCAGTCTGGAGAAGAGGAGGCTGAGGGGAGACCTTATGGCTCTCTACAGCTATCTGACAGGAGGGTGTAGCAAGGTGGCTGTTGGTCTCTTCTCCCAAGTAACTAGCGATAGGACAAGAAGCATTGGCCTCAACTTGTGTCAGGGGAGGTTCAGACTGGATATTAGGAAAAATTCCTTCACTGAAGGAGTGGTCAGACGTTGGACCAGGCTGCCCAGGGCAGTGGGGGAGTCCTCATCCCTGGAGGGGTTAAAAAATCATGTGGATGTGGCACTTTGGAACATGGTTTAGCAGGCGCGGTGGTGTTGGGGTGACGGTTGGACTTGGTCTTAGAGGTCTTTTCCAACCTTTGTGATTCTATGAGCCTATGATTCTTCGAGACAGCAGCCCCTTGCTGTCCCCAGCCCTCCCTCCCCAGCCCCAGCCTGGTTTCGGCAGACGTGGCCTTATCTCCTGCTCCCAGCAGCGCAGACCCAAGGAGGTGACCCGGTGGCTGCCACCGCCGGGTCCCAGCATGGCCGGGTGGCTCTGACGGTGACAGCACCTCATTTCCACGCCTTGGATGCAGGCATGGAGACGCTCTCCCTCCCAGCACACTCCTCTGACGTTTCAAACACTCAATTAACTTCTGAGGACTCGTGTCTCGGAGATGCTGGGCGGCATCGGGCTGCAGCTCTGCCTTGGCGTTTGGGCTGACCCCGAGCAGAGAATAATTCACTGATCAGAGCCCGCTTTCATCCCGAGATGGGAGTTATAGCATTTTCAGGCAAGGCATGCTTTGCTCCAACAGGTCCCCCAGTCCCGTCCCCGCTTCGCGGTACCCACTGAGACTCCCGTGCCTCCCACTGGCCGCGGCATCCCGCATCCACCCCTCCTTTGGTGTTGGTTAAGAAACAAAGGGGCCGGTGTAAGGCGATGGAGCCCCTCGCTACCTCGTCCCGTGCCATCAATTTTTCATCAAAGAGCCTGTGGGAAGTGCGCAATTATCTGCCCCATCAATAACGCACAGCACCCGTGCTCGGCTCGCCCGGGCCGGGCAGCTGCTTTCCCTGCCTGTACTGGGAAGGGCTTTCAGCCACGGCTTTCCCAGGCTCCGACAACACCTGCAGAGGCTGGAAAACCCTTCCAGGCCTTTAGTCCCAGCCTAGTGCTGCTCAGACACCCACCGCCCCCTATTTCTGCCCACGCTTGGCCCAGCATCACCCCGGCGCTGCCCCAGGGACGGGCGCAGAGCTGAGGGACACATTTTTCCCCTGCAACTCCTATCTCCAATCCACCCGAAGAGAGCTGCGTCTCTCCCTCCCGCAGGGCTCCGGATGAAAGCCTGGGAATCCACGCCTCAAAAGATGGAAGCTTTGAAACTCTCGGCGCTCGCTAGTTATTTTTTAATATATTTTTTTTTCCCCCCATCATTTCCAAGCCTCTGAAGCTTCCCCTGCCTTTGGAGCCTTTCATCCGCGCCGGCAAGCCGTCGCCCTCCTTCCCGTATTTGCTTAGGCCAAGTTTTTTTTTTATTTATTTACTTAACAAATTGCTCCGAGATGCTTTGATGTATCCGATTAGCTCCGACTGCTGGAATCAATTCATCTCTAGACGGAGCAGCACGGAGCGAAGCGAGGTGGTGGGGATGAAAATAAACCCCTGTGGGAGGCAGGAAGGTCCGAAAGTGGCTGAAAATCGGGTGTGCCAGAGGATTCTGCATCCGCGCGGCACGGCCTGACCCCGTCTCGGGCCAAGGAGGGGACAGCAATGCACCCCGGAGAGGGGCTGAGGACGGGCCAGCTCGTTTCACTTGTGAGCACAGAGGCAGCTGAGCCCTGGCAGAGCACCAGCCTCTTCGGCCACACGATCTCCCTCTGCCCGACAGATAACTCGCTCCTGGATGAGAACTAAGCCCAGTTCCTTAATTGTTATGAAGATGGGATAAGCTCGGATTTACATATCTGAGAA